CCGCCGCCGATGGGTCGCGGCGGGGGTGGGAGGCGGGGCCAGAGGGAAGGGCAGGGGAAGGGGGAGGGGGGCCTGGCCCCAACGGTCGTTGCTGCTGCTGCCGCGGCTGCTTTGCTGCGCGGTTCTCCTCTGATAACCCCCTTCCTGCCTCTCTCAGCCCGAGGTGCTCCTCAGGGTGCTCAAGCGCAGTCCGAGCCTTGCCCGACTCCGCGCTTTTCTCCACCAGGCCGACCTCGCCCCGCAGCTGCAGCACGCACCGGCGGCCCAGAAAGCGGGAAAAAGCTAATTCGGCACAAAGCGCTCGGGCACGTTTTCACCGGCGTTGTAAGCCCCCCCCCCCCCCGGGGGGGGGAAGGTGGTGTTTTTCCGCCCGCGGTCAGCGCGGTCCCCGTGGCTGAGGCTCCGGGTGCTTGATCAGTCTCCGGGGTGTCTCCCCCCCCGTGAGGCACCGGGCTCAGAAATCTTCGGGTTTGAGGCTGCTGGCGTTGCCCTGAGCAAGGGCAGCGTTAAAAGCAGCCCCAAAAAGGGGCCCCCAGGGAAGCGGGAGGCTTGCACGGCGGAGGAGGGTTTGGCAAACGCGCGGACCCTCGCTTCGGGCTGAGGGCGTGTGGCGGCATTTACGTCAAGAGCGTTTGCGGGTGTAATAGGAAATAGCTCAAGTTCAGCGGCAGCAAATTTGAAAGGCAGAGAAACCCTGTTTCTCAGGGATAAAACCAGTTAGAGTAACTGTTGAGTCTTCCTCGACCACCTGCAGGGCTTTGTACTGGCTTCGCATGCACTTACAGGGAGTAGATGCTCCCTAAATTAACTCGTACAATGCTGTCGCGCCCCTGACTGTCCCAGGAGGGTTTGCTAGACACGTGGATGTTTCCTGTACGGTTTTTGCTTCTGCTCCGTAACAATTTAAGACCTGTTGCTTCTTGGTCCAGAAGAACCCCAGGCCGTAAATGCGACGGTAACAGACCTCTGCGGACCTTTTGCTTCTTGTTGCTAAATACTTCTGCGGATCTTAGAGAAATGCATTCACAGGAACATGTGAATAGCTTTTTTTCAGTCCACCAGGTGGCAGGATTAAAAGATACCGGTTGATTTTAGGCGCAGCTTGATGCCATTGAACATAGTAATATGCACTTTGTGTCCTGGCATTAAGATGAAGCAAGAATAGAGCATTTGAAATGAAAGAGAGAGTAGCTGCAGTTCTAGCTGTGACATTGTTCTCTAACACAACTGGGAATCTTTAAAGATATTTATCATTTTGCCCATAGTATTTGGCCCCCTTTAAGGAGATTCCAGATGTCAGATTTTCCGTGTTTTCCCCATTTTTATGTCACTACCATTGGTCCTTTTATGTGTCAAAATTGTGAAAAATGTCAAGAACTTCTGCTAGCAGGATCCTTAATTCATCCTTTCCCCACTGTTATGCAATTTTGAAATTGTATTTTGGTGTGTATTTGAGAAGAAGAAAAGAATGATACAGGAATGTCGGTATAGTCAAGGGTAAGTGTAGATAACCAGAGTGGAGCGTATACAACAGTCACTTTTCATATATACCAAAGACCTGAATTTCCCCAGAAGACACATTTCATTTATTTAAAAATACATATTATTTACTTGTCTGCAAAAAAAAAAAAATACAGTGACACTTACTGGCAACAATGTAATCATATTCATATTGCACCTGGGTCAGCTAGTCCTGGGAACAGCATGAAAGCGAGGCCTTCCTGAAACCCAGCGCTTTTAGCCGTATTTGCCTTTGAGCAGGCAAACCTTGTGCGAGCCCTGCCTGCCTGCCTGAATATCCCCTGGCAGGCTGCCTTGTAGGAAAGACCCAACCGTAATCAAATGACTTTCCCACAAACAGAGATGGAAGATCAAAGCCAGATACAGAGCAGGTAAGTGTGGCCTCAGTCACGGTCTAAAACTCAGCAAATAGCTAAGGCGTTCCCTTGTGAGCACCAGCTGAGTCAGGCTACCCAGCGAAAGCGGGCCTTGAGCCAAGCCTCAGGGCTACTCTCATAGAGAAGCACAAAGTTGGCTACTGCAAAAGCAGAAAATAAAATACGTTTCCTTGAACTAACAAGGAAATTAAATAGGAGGTCAGGGAAGGCCTGGACCGAGTGGTCATTCTTCAGCTACAAGAGTGCAAATTTTGAAGAGATGTCAGATACACTGTTTCTAGGCAAGTATCAAGAATATGGAAACAAGACTGCAAAACAAGCAGGCATCTTCATAGATAAGTATAACGTGAGGGAATTCTCAAACCAGCAGATATTAAACACCATTAGGTTATTGGCAGAATATCAAACTAAACCAAACTAAAATTGCAGTTTCTTTACAACAGAATATGGTGTCTTATTAAAAGAATGAAACCTCTCTTCTCCTCAGTGGCAGGGTGTCGTGACTGACTACGTACGCCATTTACTCAGCAGCTAGGAAAGAGCTGGGTCTGCCCTATCACACTACCTATGCTAGTGAATTTGTGTTTGTGTGTGCGCTGATCCAGCCATGTGCTGTCTACACTGTTGTTTAAACTAGAAACCAAAATCATATTCCAAGTGAAATTAAAACAAAAGCTCAAAGCTGAAATCAATTTAAAGTACTGAGAATCAGAACGTTGTAAAGCAAAGACAGGACTGATTAGCTTAAGATTATTCTCCTCTTGTACAAAACTCTTTCTGGGGAATTAAAAAAGTGCCAGACCAAAAGAATTCACAGGAAGATGCTCAGTGGGCATTAGATTTCAGCTGGTGTGGGATCAGGAAAATTTTCAGTATGTATGAAAAAAAACCAAAAGCTCTCGAAACTTACTTTTTTAAATGAAGAAAAATGATAAAAAACCTGAAAAGTTCTCACAAAAATAAAAAAGCATTCACTGGAAACTCTAGACAAGATTAAAACAGAGGTAGCTTTAATGACACTTCAGACTGAGGAATTTAAACTGAAGTTAAAAACATATGGAGAATGATTTATGTTTATCAGTTCAAAATAGTACAGTCTTAAAACCTGTGTAAACAACATATAGCATCTTGACAGTAACTTATAAACAGATGTGCTGGCAGTCAGTAAACAATTTCTCTTGATGCTTCATCTCACCAGTTTTCTTATCATTACATAGTCTTTCATTTGATTCTTTAGTAAGTGAAATCAGAGATGTTAAATGCTTGAGCATCTCTTCTCTGGATGAGGAAACCCTGACGAAATTCATTGAGCAGTTTTTAGTTTATCTTACAACAAAATCATGATGATAATATAATTGATTCTGTGCTTTTCATGCGGTTTTATAATCTTCTGACTTCGGACAATTACCTGTTATGTTAGGCCACCCACAAGACGAATTTATGTTTCTTAAAAAGGAGTTTACTCAAACGGCCTTTTGAGTTGAGGGTTAAATTTTAAAAGTTAATTTTAAAAAAAACTAGTGTAGAGAACAGGAAGAAACAAAGCAAGAATCAAAAATAAATATGTAGAAATCAAGAAAAATAAGGAGAGAATAGCAAATTAAATTTTTTTTAAAATTGAAACATTTGTCATACAAAATATTTGTTCAAGTGCTGCAAGAAATGAGGGAAAGGAACAGTTCATATAGAAAAATAATTTAAAAATCTTTGGTAATGATGAATTCTTTGGTTTTATACAGTCCTTGTAACGTAAAAATAATCTTCCATTATTCATGTAAGTACCTTTTATAATTTATTTCCTAATCTACTTTATTTAAAAAACTCATATAAGGCAAAAAAAAAAAAAAGTCAAAAAGATATGAAGAAAATGACTGTATGTCTCTGTCTTATCTGAAGAAACAGATATTTGAACTGGGTTCTAAAACATGTTTCTTAAGGATTATACCTTGCTAATCTGCTCACATAATACCAAATTTTCCAGATAAGAAGTTTGTTTTTCCTTGGGAAGTTGTATTCTTTCCGTCACCTGATTTTGAAGGCATGTCCATAGTAACATATCTAATCTGAAAACCACCAGCTGTCACTGAGGCATCTGTCAAAAACTTCAAGGTCATAACATTTCCTAGGACCAGAAAAAGAAAAACAAAGATTACATTTTTGGGTGGCAAAAAAATGTGGTATTTCAGTTCTTTTTATACTGCTCTCCTGCTTCCCTCAGGCACCTGGGTTTCCGGGAGGGAGTCTACGCTGCGGCATGGATGAGGCATCCTGGGGAATCTGAAACACAGGTCTTCAGCGCAGTCCACCTGGTCTGCCTACCTCTGAGCTGAGTATTAGCCCTTTCAGCCCTGTGGAAAACTAGGCTCATGCTGGACTTGCTCGACTTAGGCAGTCACCTCAATTTAAGAAGAGAAAACATTTGGACGTGTGAAGTAGGGCATGGAGCCTCAAGCAGCATTAAGTGACACAGGGGTGAGGTTGCTATATCACTCTCTCATGACTATCATCTTTCATCTCTGCCCGGCCAGTGTAAACTGGGAGAGCAGGTACGGGACAATTCAGCTTTTCTCTTCTCTTTCCGCTGCTTAGACCTGTGGTCTATGAGCACTGGTATAGAAAGCAAAGCAGAAGTCAAAGCTTAGATTAGCTTTAGCTCAGGATTTGTCCGAAGTCAAACAGGAAATGTTTGGAGTATTTTGTATTGGCACTGGAGCCGGGTAGAATCCCATTTTCCATGTCTTAACCATGAGAGTGCAGCAAGTATTTTTCAGCTCTTTATTTGCATGGACTAATCCAACAAACTGTGTACGGAATGATACATTGTTCATTATGAAAAAGGGTGGCATAATCTGGCCTGAGAAGCACGTTTTCCTTTATACTGTTCTGTTTACATTCTATTTCTTTCACCATGCACATTCTCATTCCTGTTAATTTTGCTTTATTTTCTTCTTTTTGCTCATGGTAATGATCTCTCTCAATTGTAATTTATTTTTCCCTGGCTCTTTTAAACATTTAAGGAGGGGAAAACTGCTTTATTTTCAGTTCCACATCTTTAGAATTATTTTAGGATGATTTTATTACTAGAGACTAAAGAGACTGAAAATAGAATTATTTGGAAACAAATGGCAGCGCTCATAGTTTTCAGATGATTAAAATGCTGCCTAATCCAAAAAGTTATTCCTCTGATGCCAGTGATTATGCACCTCTGCTTGAGATTGTGCTGTATTTGCATTCAGGGCAGTGACTCTGGCACTGTGGCACATTTAGGAACCTCTCAACAACAGTCTATGTTGGATTAACGAGTAACAGTCTATCCTTGATTAATCAGGGGTCCTCCAGGTGAGGAAGAAAACACTAACAATATAACACATACACAATTAGGCTCCGAGATCATAGCCTGGTGTAACGTAGGAACGAAGGTACACTGTGTGAGCTAGTGCAGCACAGTATGATATGCGCTTCCACTTATACGAGGCCCATTTGCATCCGCAGCACTATCAATTCATCCCTGAGATAATCCATCCGTAGATGGTAAAACTGATGGCATTGTTAATTCTGCAAGTTTAGGTACTGGAGACACTGAAGTGTGGTAACATGAGCACCTGCACAGACTATACATGTTTCTCTGGGGAGTACGGCTACTTCCCTGTGTGATTATCTCGCACCGACTTCTGTGGTACTGCAACTTTGCAATACTTGAGCAAAGAGAGGTAAAAATGGCTTTCATTTACATGGAATCAGACCTTGGTCTGCTATTTATACATACATACAAAATGTTTCTATAACCAGCTTTGGCGATGTCCTTGCAATCCTTGCTCTGAAAACAGGAAAACTTGGTGAGTAGATCCTTTCCTGATTATTTTTCTAACTAGACTTTTTTTTCTTTTACACGTATTAAAAAGTAACTGTGTTGATGAAAGAGTACACTGGCAGTTTTGAATAGCAGCTTATGACATGTGGGCCATGAATTAGAAAGTAGGGAGAAGAGATGATTTGGGCTGATTTTTTACCATAAAAAGCGCAAATAATATTACCTGTGCTAATGATATCATCTGGCAACTCATCTCCACAGAACCTGAAAAAAAATTATAAATGGTTATGACTGAATGACACAGCAAATATGCTATATCCCTGTTACGCAGGGACCTATACTGACAATGGTGACTCTCCGGCTGTCCTCTCCTTTGAGAGAGCTGTGGCTCATGGGGTTAAATTGGTTGTAGGTGTTCAGTCTATGTAATTCTCTATATGTTAAAGCAATTCACTCAAGGATTTTTCTCATTTCTCAAGATTTAGGGGAGGGAAAGCTGCAGAAAACAGAATTTTCAATATAAGAAGGAAGTAAATGTTGTAAAACAAGAAAAGGAGCTATTTTACACAGCATTAAGGCAAGGAGTAATAGTCCAAGACTGAGAAAGCAGGAACTCCATCAAGAAAAATATTAAAAATGATCACTAAGGGAGAAACAAATGGAATATATCCTTCCTTTGCTACACATGATTTGAAGAGAGGAGACGAAAAGTGGCAGGAATAGGGAAGTGTTTTTATCACCTTTTCTAGTTTATTTGTTGTAGCAGAAAACTGAGATACTTCATACTAAAAAATTGAGTGCTAAAGAATAAGCAAAAAGATGATATTAAAGAAAAGAAAGTGAGAATTAAGCAAAGAAGAGGGAGACTAAATGTTAAAAGAAGATATATAACACCTGTTCTGATTTTGTTAGAAAATATTTGACTTCTGTGGCTAATAGTAAGTTGAATTAAATGCATTTTTGCTAACAGTTTAACACCTCTTCTCCATCCCTCCAATTAAAGCAAATACAAAATATTATTTGAGATTGCTCGTTCTTCCTGCAAAATAATAGAGGATTCATTTAAAAATAAGCAGCTGACTAAAAAATCTTGCAGGTCTTTTTCATGCACTTTAGCAAAGCAGAAAAGGGCAAAGCATAATTTTCAGAAGTGCTTTGCAGGTCTGAGTTAATAATAGTTAAGAAAATTGCCTGGAGAGATATGTTAGGTACCGTTGCCATGAGTATTTGGGGCATATGAGAAGTGCTAATTGGCTAAAGTAATACAGCGTTTTCCCTAAGTATTATGCTTGAGCATTTTTTAAACCATTTTAATATTTGCTTATTGAAGCTGGAATTACTTTACCTGCCCACGAAGCCATTGATATCATCATAGCTATCGTAGACTTCCAAGAAATCAGCCATACAAGCAGTGTCATCTTCAACATCAAACTCTAGAAACTGTAGATGAATCTGTTGTCCATACTTTACTCTAATATGCCAGTAGCAAATTTGCTCATTTTCATACTCATTTGGGTAGCCTGGTGACTTAAAAACATGTTTTGAATCTGTGAAGACTCCACCACACTCTTTTCCTATGAGAAAAATAAAAACATCAGAGTTCAAGTATTCATTTTGGATATGCCTATGATATAATTCTTTGTGCAGTTTGACCCAGTAGATCTTTTGTAGAAAATCACATAGGAACACCCAGTGAAATAGCACTGTTCATATATTTAAGCACTCAGCATTCAAAGAAATGCTAGCTTTTGGGAGCAGATACTTTGGAAATTAGGCATGATCCAAAACTCACTGAATTCAGAAGAAAAGGTTTCATTGGCTTCAGTGGACTTTCGCCCAGAGCTAAGTGCCCTATATAAAGGCTTTTGGGGTTTGTGACTATGTAAAACTGTAAGCTTTACAGCTGTTCTTGTAAGTCACCCTCACATTCACTTTCATCCTTTTTTCTCCAAATACTTCTCTGAAGTGAGTCTTCTCCAAAAAGTCTCTAAAGGTTAGTGACCACATTTATTTTGCCGCACTGCTTTTCTTGCTGCAGCTGTTCCCCTCCCTCTGGAAGGTCTCCAGAACCAAAAGCCCACGTTCCCGTTAGATTCTGTGCCCATTTGAGCCTTACCTTGTCTGTGGGACTAATTGATACGGGGGCCTCGCTTTGCCTGATTTTAACCTTGTCTTTGTTCCCTAAGTTCAGACCTAAAGGAGAGGTAGATACTGGGGTGATTCAGGGCACATATGTTAGAAGCCTTAAGTTGGATAATGGGAATAACCTTATTGTCTACAAGTCCTGTATTTTTCAGCACCACAGAACAGTTAGGATGGATGTGATTTCAAACGTGCAAGTAGTTCCTCAATTTGCTCTTGACATCTTTAGCATCTCTGAGATGCTAAAGGCTCAGGCTCAGTTCAATCGATTCGACTTTGCTTCTCCTGGCCACTGGTTTCCCACCTGCAAACAGACAACTCTGCCAGGCTTTGAAGCAGACTGCCATCAAGCATGAATACATATCCTTATAATGGGAGAGGCTCAAGGCACCTTCCGAGTGTTGGCAGTTCTGGTTTCCTTTTGTCCTCTAACCAATGCATTTGCAAATTGCACCTTTCATCCCAGAAGAGAGGGCTGACAAAGGAGAAAGTTGGGCTGACCATTTAAATGTGGTAATACATGCAGTAGTCTCTCTCTCTCTCTCTCTCCCTCTCTCCCTCTCTCCCTCTCCCTCTCCCTCTCTCTCTTTCAATTTTCTTTGTATGCTGAACATCTGTGAGAGTCCTCCACCCCGCAGAGCTATTTGATTAACAACTGCCCAGCTAACATAAACAAGCTCAAACCCTGTGAGCACAAACAAAATGTGCACAGCTGTACAGACGTCATGGACAACTCCACTTTTTGGCTCTCCCATGCAGGGTAGTACACTTGAAGTAGCAGGAAAGTCAGGCAGAGCATCAAGTTAAGCTTCTCTTTTCTTGTTGGTGCCCACTTTTTGTATCTTCCCTGCTAAATGGAGGATACCAAGGTAACAGTGGCCAAGTGAATGTTTCAGTCACCTGCAGTGTCGTGAGGGGCTACTCCAGCTAGACTCAGCCAACTAGCTCACGCAGCAGCAGCAGCCCACGTGCGGTTGCACAGGGCATAGACAGCCTGTTTCACCCTCCCTAGGAGAAGAGACATGTCCCGTGTCCATGAGGTCTTGTCACTGGTGTTTGAATGACTTCTCTGGATCTGCTTCAGAGATCTGCTGTTCTCTATCTAGTTACACACGCGTGTGCGCGCGTGCACACACACACACACACTCACACACTCACACACACGCACGCACGCACGCACGCACAGTCTGCTAGGAGCTAGGTCTTTGCATCTTTCAGTCCCAGACATAGCATTCATTTTCAAGAGTTTTCTATCATAGGCAAGAGAAAGAAGGTCCTGTGAGTAGGAAGAAGGGTAAACGTTAAATGTTTTTATAGGCAAAATACCTGGAGAATAGTTCTTGTGTCATAACACTTATTTTTGTTTGTATCTCCATATATGCATTAGAGAATTGTTAAACAGTAATAGAGCAGCTGCACGCATAGCCCTATTTTCTTCCAGTACTGTGTTGATAATAAAGGAATAAAATGATTAAAAACTTCCCAGTATAGATTTAACACCATACCCTGCAGACTCTCTCTTTTAATAAGAATTCATATGGATGATCTGAACAGTTCCACCTACCCTTAGAAGCCAGATCCTCAGATGATGCTTTGATTTCAGTAGAGCCCCCATAGTGGCAGTTCACCAGCAAGGTGATACTATAGTTCCTGAAACATCTGCCAGCCCTTTAAGGTCTTCCACATAAGTAAAAACACACCTACCTACCTTTGCAGTATTTTAATTATAGCTAAACTGCCTCCACAAATGTCAGGCTAGTAAAAGGAACACAAGGAAATTTACCAAGTTGGATTTGAGCAAATTCTAATTTTTTAGCATTTTTTAGAACTTTACCTAACCCAAAACAAGCTGGAGAACTTCTCTAGATTTTATTTTCTGAACTCCCATGGCTATTTTCAAATTGTTATCAGCAGTGTTTGCAACTAGAAGACTGAGAACTACAAAAAAGAATTCTACAGATTTTTTGTTTCCAAACTGAGAAAAACGTAAAAGGCCAGCAAAAGAATGATTATCACTGAGAGTCTGGGTGCTTTTGCACAGCCAGACAGCATAGCACGTAGTCACATTCTCAGAACTAAGGAGAATGGTTTTTAAACACACCGTTAGGATTGTAGCAGTAGGCATCCCATCTCTCGCTTCTGTTGAGGCGAAACCCGTAATCAACAATACCAGTCTTCCCAAAGCCACAGTTGGGTCCAGCTTTTACTATGGGATAACCAACTCTGCCCTTTGCCATCCAGCCAGCCGCACACACGTGGAAACCTGAGATGGGGAGAAAATGAGGCATGAGTGTGATAAATTAATCCTAGGCAAGAAACTTTGCTTCTTATTCGGATAAATAATGACTCACTCCAGCTGATCAATGACTTAGATGTAATCAGTCTAGTAGAAATTATACTTCTGGGAGGAAACAGTCTTGTGAGTAGATGATTTGAAACACAGGAGGTATTGTATTCTCCACAATATGATTATTAGTTTGTCATTTGAGAACACAAAACAAATGCAGATGGACTAACAGTCTCCAGGGTGGTGAGTTTTAAATACTGTACCAGCATTTGTAATCAAATTATATATTGGATTAGTTATGTAAGTGAATAAATTGTGTTCTTTGTTTCCCTTTTAAAGTCATATTATTATATTTAAATCATATCTCATGTAAAAGTTTGCAGTATTACGTTCTGAAAGGTGAACAAAATACTGTATACAGAAGACAGCTAAGGAAATGAGGTATGCCCTTAAAATACTTACAGTTTAAATTTAAATACCTAAACTATGTATTTCCTTACAAAACAAAAAGATCCTGTTAATGCATTGTGTGGCTGAGAACCTAGAAACAATAGCCAAAGAATGTGTTTGTTGTTATTCACTGTCTGGTAGAGACCAATTCCATGGTTTCACCGAGACAAACTAGAACATATTTGCGGCGTGCCAGGACTGCGAGCTAGTCAGAAGAGACAAAAGTACCCTTTTTACATGTGTGCTGGTGCTGAGTGCCAGCTTGTGACTCAACAGTGTAGCCTGCATATTTCTAGAGTGGAGGATATTTTCCATTGTTTTCCTAATGCTCTGAATGAATTAATCATTCCTCAACAGGAATCAAACAAATACAATGGTGTCCTCACTGAGATCGGCTTTTCTCTCCGAGCGCACCAACCACTCTTTCTCAGAGCAAATAGGGCTCAAATAAACGTTATGAAAACACCGTGGCTGCTTAGGTGAAAAATAACAACTCTCATTTTCTAAGAAAGGTCACTGGGGACAAATGCACTGCCCTGCAGGCCCCCGCTGCGTCCCTGCTGCAGCATGGCTGGGCAGGTACCGTTGCTTCCCAGCTGAGGAAGACAGCTCTCTGCTCTGTGTTACTGAGTGTGTTGCACACAGAGCTCAGGGGTGCTGAGCACTGCGTGCCGACGTTATCCCCGACAGCTCTGTAGGTAGCACAGCCATGCTCTATTACTGGAGGGAGACACTGCGTGCAACTTAGGCAAAAATCCAGGGAGTTTATAAGTCTCAGGATTCATAACCATTCATGAAAACACAAGATTGGCAGCACAATGAGCAACATGAAATATAAATGGCTATGATTTTTTTCAAACCTATTTTTCTTGCTGCCTCCAGCTGCTGATAGGTGGCTAGATGTCCTCCTTCGTACTCACAGACGGCTTTTGCTTCTGCATAGGTAAGCTGGTACTTTCCAGTGCGAGACTCCCTGTGATACACTCCAGCTGCTCGTTCTGGGGGACCAAAGCAATAAACAAGTTCAGTATTGTTTTATTTCTGGAATGCAGACTACGGGATCCCAGCTGACCTACCTTCCTGGAGGATGTCAAGTCTAACAGCTTCAGCAGCTTCCCCAGACGTTCACCTTGGGCTACCATCCAGGTGAGAATACAAACAAGATGTTCTGCTAGTAGCTGCGTTACTTGGGAAGCATCAGGAAAATATGCAATGCAAAGGTGTGTTTCTGTTTGGGAAAAGTTTTTGAGCAAGAGCTGGTCAGAGTTTGGGGTAAGCTCTTGAAAAACGGAAAATCAACAAACACAGGGAAGGAGACCCATAGGACTACTCAGAAAGCAGTAGTTATGGGAAGAATCAGCTGGTTCAGTATCGCTAGATCTGTGGGACCATATCTGACTCCAGGGAAACTCTTGCTGGAGTGCTATTACAGCATACTTTTGGATATAGCTTAAAGTATTTTTGTAAGATGAATCAGAGCTTTGTTTTGAATCTCCAGAGAGGTTAAATGAGAGCTACTTGGATAGAAGAGAGGCAAAAATTAAAGGGAATAAACATGTGAAATAAAAATATCTGCGCTTGTCTCACAAAGCACAGAACAATTGTTGGCTGATATTTTTGCTACACAGAAATTTAATACATTTTCTTCATATATCTTCTTTTGCTGTTGAGAATCCAATATACAGCAGCTTTGCAGGGAAAACTAGAAACTGTCAGTACTATTACAGGTTTTATAATCTTTTCTTGTTTCACTTGCCTGATGCCATATGTACAGAAATCTGTCTCTGTACCAATGTGCAAATCTAATCTGAATGGTGGGATTTTTTTAGATTTGTCTTATATTCGACATAATCTGAGAAAAATGGCTGTCTGCAGCTATCATAAAGCAACATAATTGAGAAAAGAAGCAAAATAGGAAGCCTATTTTTACAGTAGTTATTTGCATCATGGGAAAAAAGGAACGTCTCTGCTAGTGACTCTCTATTCTACTAATTCTACTTAGAATCAATGGGTTTGGCTATGTTAGGATACTTTAAAAAATGCTAACCACAGAATTGTGGTTAGCTATGGTGAGATCCTTTATTAGATACAGAATGATGTCTGCCAATGTAGTTTTTGGACCCACAGTCACTGGACTCATTCCCAATGAAGTAAATGATATTGCTGACAGTAGTCTCAGGAAACTGAGAGTTGCTTATTGTAACAGCCAGAAATGTCACTGGCATGGGCAAAGAATAACATACATTCTGTGGAAAGATCTTTCTAAGAAGCTAGGGTAGTTCCAGTGCAAAGCAGAGTCATAATAACAAACAGCTATGGAATAATAGTATGCTATGTTCAAAAAAATCTTTTTAAATCAAAATTTCATTTGTAGGAAGTATTAGTGCCCATTCACATAATGATCTATCATTTTTAGCGTGATAAATCCAGTCACTGTTTCCTTACAGCATAATTATATTCAATTCAGGATGCATGAATTGAAAATCTGATTGTGAAAATAATGCGCAATCTAGCCTCACTGCACAATCAGGGGAGAACCTGGAAAGGAGATTATTGATCACTCTTGGGATTAGCTGAGCTGTCCCACCTACACTGAGTCAAAGAGTAAAAGGCAGTCCATTCCAAGCTTTCTTGGGTGACAAAGGTGATCAGTCACTGCTGAAGTAAAAACAGTCTTAAAGCTTATTTTAAGGGACAGTTGCTGATAAAAGCCTTGATAGTTCTGGCAGCTATTTTTGCAAGACCCACTCTGCTCCTTTCCTGGAAGAGCACTGGAGGTAACACCTCGCATTCAGAGGGAATCACCAATGGTTTAGACTTGCAACTGACAGTAAAAACTTATTTTCAGTTGTCTCTAATTTCTCTGACTTTTTCTCCTGGTAATAGTGTTTTCAAATCTTATCCCTTCAGATGTTTCTATCCCCATTTATTGATGCTAAAACGTTAGGACATTATTGGCCTGTTTTCCAGAGTACTGCTGGAAAGATTTGCTCTTCATAGTTTTTTGCAAGGGCTGCTATACTGATAGTGGCACCACTGAGTCTTCGTGCATTGTCTTAGTGGTTGGTGTTATCCTGCTGAGAGCAATCGCCAACCTGTATCTCTGTTATTCCTTTGTAATTTGATAAAAGTAGACCTTGGAAGGACAGATGATGTACTTACGCTCGGCCAAGCTTTTACATTTGATGCTGGATCAGCGTGTCACAGTTTAATGACTCAGTATTCCCTAAGAGTAGTATATCCTAATTAATTGATCAGATCTTTCGCAGGTGTTTTTTCCCTGTCTTAATTACGTTAAGGACTGTGCAGAATGATAAGCTACAAAAACACACCTAGGTCAAAGCATCGTACATATATCTAGAAATATGCATTTACATACATAAACGTATACACACACATTCACAGCCACACATGAACACAGAAATGCACAAATTACTATTAGTCATTATGGAGGCAAGATCATGTACGTGTAGACAAACCTGAATCAAATTTTGCTTTTACTTGCAAGCGCAAGCACGTGCCTACTACTGTAAATATGTGCTGTTTATTTACCAAGGGTCTGGCACTGGAGAGTATGGCGTGTCCCAGCCGCAGCTGGGCATCTTCTCTGATGGAGGATGCTGCTTGAAAGCTGCTCCCAGAGTATCTGACCTGGACAATAATAAAGGCTTTGAAATACCTGAGAAATGTACTTAGTGTCCAACTGCTTGTGCTCAAAATGTGGAGGAGCAGCCTTAACTGACTCACTGGCTAGCTTTAGGCCTCCTTGCAAGAACTTCCAACGAGGCTCTTCCTTATTTGCTTGAAAACCTGCATGTTAGGGCTGGCCTCTCTGGGATTTCTTCCCCTACTTTTTCCTCTGGTTCTTGCACACAAGAACATGGCTTGCAAGGCTGACAGGACATGTTCCCTCCAATTCCCATTTCTTACAATTTCTCCCTGAAGTCCAGAGACAGGAGGAATCTGCAAGAAGAGTGACCCTCCAGTCACTCACAGCAGTAGGTGAGATTAAAACGTAGCCAATCTCTTCTGCACAAAGACAAACAAATATGAGATTTGGCCTAATAAAATTCCATCAATACGTATGACACATGGCTATATAATAAAGGATGAATGGAAGTATTTAACTTCAAAGTGGGGAGCTGCCAAGTAAAGTTACTGGCATGGGTCTCTAGTAACTTGTGGTCATCCTCAGAGTACTCCACTGAATGGTGCAAGTACAGCCCCAACGGTGTAGGCAAGGCCTGTACACGTCACTGTACATTCACATGGCGTGTGAATGGGAATGAAATTCTGAACACAAGAGTGGGGACTTCCTTACTACACTCCTGTACAGTGGTGCAGCGCTCTCTAGTTCAGGTGTGAATTTAGTCACATTAAAATACGCCATATTTTGTTTGTATCACAGGCTTAGGCCATACAGCTATGGAAAAGTACATCTACCTGCAGACAGTTTGGACCATGAAATATGCATACTGGGGCCCTACTGCTGACTGATATTTTGACATCACCCTAGAAAAGTCAAGAGGCCTGGCATAACCCCATTTCCCTATCTCTCTCTGGTGCTACCTGAGTCATGGCTTGCTGGGGCTTCTCTTGGAGGAACGTCTCCTATCTGTTCCCAGTTGTTCAGCTGTGCGTTGTGGTGTGCTGCATTTGTCACGGACACCACAGTGACCCCGGGGACTGATCTAAGCATATGCCTTGAGGTGCAAAGGTGATGACTATAAGGCTTGGAAGCAAGGCTTGGTTGTGTCTTCAGTCCTTTGAAAGTCTAACACCATCGTTGACTTCTCCCTGGTAGTCGGTGCTGTTGAGTATTTTTGCAAAACCACTTTATTTCTTAACTCTCTGTCCTTTCTTCTAGTCCTAGAAATAGTTTTAATTGTTCACTGCAAATTGTTTGTGAATAATTCTGTTCAGCGGGATGAAACACCATTAATAAAAATCATCTTTTCTATTTACACGTTTGCTTGTAAACATAACCCAAACTGTCAAGTGAAAGCACAATGTTCTTGCACTTGCTGTTCTCAATGTGTACGTGGATTCTTTTAAGTCACGGAGAACCGAATAATTTTCTTGAGGAAGAATCCACCTGACACAATTATAAGAAAATGTCCTTATGTTATTTTCTGCTGCCATCAGAGGTTAGAACATTCTCTCTTCTCATTCCTAGCAAAAATATCACCCCATGTAACTCCACTGTCCTCAGTGGATGGATTGTTCACATTGTATCTACTCAAGATTATCAGAAGTGCAGCCCTGACTCAGTATTTCTCAGCAATAAAGTCAAGATGAAACTCATTTGCCCCAAGGATTAGGCATGAGGGCTACCTACTCACCACTGGAAGGGGAAGGCCCCTGAGGAGGGGCAGAGCTGGGACTTGGGACACCCAGGAAATCTGGTGCTTATTTCTGCTGGTAGGGGCTGGTGACTGCTGATTGCCAGGGACACCACGCTCCCCATCCTGACCCTTCCTTCAGCAGGGCAGCCGTATCCTACCTGCCTGCCTTCCAGGGGGCTGGCACAAGCAAAGCAGGCAGTGGAGCCACGGCCATTTTCTGATCCTGAGCTCCTGCTGCCCTGGGAAACTCCTGTTTTGGGGCACTACAAACCAGTACTAGAATTAGCAGATTACAAGCGTGTTTCGTCACGATTGCTCTGATCCTCTCATCAGTTTACAATAAACTTTTGGTTATAACGTGCTTGTTTCAAAAATGAGCCCCGATAAAATTCCATTCAAATAAGACAGACATGAACAGGAATAGTATATATTCAGCTGCATCAGTATTTCATATTTTGTGAGAAAACAAAAGATGTTTTGTATCACAGAAATAAGGTAAAAGACAGGAACATTTCTAGCCTGACCTTAATTGTAGACCTGATATTTGTGTTAATGGTTTGTTGAGGAAAAAAGGTAAAATGGAAAACTCCTTTCATTTTCACTCTGATCTTGATAGCGCTTTATCAAAAGAAGAGAAGAGAAGTAAAGTTCAAATGTCACTGCGCATTCTTAGGTTTTATCCTGGGGAGGGGGTCTTGCTTTAACGCTTGTACACAGTTAGTATGAAATTGGGGTTACTCCTTTTATTGTTCAAATTACGCTAATTTTTTAATGCAAAGACGTATAAAATGGATGGCTGTGATTTTGCCAAATTTTTCGTCATTTATACATAATTGCACTGAATTCCACTGCTAATTCAATTAACCGGATTTTGGGTTTTGTTACAGTAATTTTATTGCAGTACTTAGAATAGATAGTGCATTTCTAAGGGCGTTCCAATGGAGTCCTGGAGATGTGAAAGCAGAGTGATTACCTGAAAGTTATACACTGTGCTTCTAGATTTTGCACATATTTTGCACGGTCAAATTTTTACCCTTGTCCTTCATTTTTATTTACTCTCATGGTAAATGCTAAAGGTGTAGCAAATGATTATTTTATTATTCATTTCAGTTAACACTCTATTCCTTCCTTTCAAGGAATTTGAATGTTTTTTTATATGCAAAAGGACCTCATGTCATACAAAGTACAACCACTGAAATGATTGGTATCATCATCAGTTCACGTTTATGTTGCAGAAGCCCTTAGAGGCCCCAGCCAGGGCGGCACTGACATGGATATGCCAGTATTTGCCAATAAAATGCCCAGGACCCGTTCTCTGGCCACGAGCGTGAGTGGTGTGGCGTGTGGCTGAACTCCCTTTCCCTAGAGTCACGGGGCCTCATCCACGTTGCCTCCTGCATAGTCCCTGGCCCTGCTCTCGCTGCTCGGGCGCTCTTCAGAAAACCACTGGCTGGCAGAGATCAAAACCGTGCCAAGGAGCGTGCAAGCAGCTGAAGCGCAGACCTGACCTGTGCCATGGCCAAGTACTGTTTATTTGTGCAGAGACAGCCTGTACAAACCAGTGATAAACAGGAGGCCTGGCTCAGCATGTCTCTTTACCCACTGCTCTGACCGCATCTTTCTGTATGAGAACTCCCATCACAAACTATACCAAATTTGACTTTTCTGTCCTTACTATCAGGGCTTAACGCAGCTTCAGTCCTATTTATCTTCTATGTCTCCTTACTGCCACTCCAGCAAAGAATACAGGCTTTTTTGTTTCTCACACAAGCCTCTTCTCTGTCATCCTTTTTTGAATACTTCCTCTTTGCGGTGGTGCAAGAAGGTGCCAAGCTATCCTCCCCCAGAGCCCTCCTCTATCTGAACACCTTCCGTAACTATACACGACACAGCAGGCACGCTCCAAGTTTAGAGGGAAAGGGAAATAATTAAAAATGTGCAATTAACTGGAAAATAATATAGATCAATCTCCTTCTCATTCACGTTCCTTTTAGCTTACAAGGTCCTCTGAGGAGGGCCTAGATTCACGTGGCTGTTATACCAGCTAATAGAGCACGGCCCCCATTCTTTATGAAACATCTGAGCGCTACAGAAATGAGGACTGGCTACAACAATTCCTTAAAATTAATAAGGAAATATACTCTGTTCCAGAGACAATTAAGGAGTCTATAAATATTTCTCTATAAAACAGAGCACTCACTGCATATATTCGTTTTGACATATTTTAGGTGAATGTTTTGATCTTCTGTTGTTGTATTGGAGAATAATAAAGAACTCTGAAAGAACTCTAAGAGCTATTTAAACCCACTTGGGATATCAAAAACGATTGCCACAGCATCTTATATAGCCCCTTTGGAATTTTTTCTCCACTACTTAATGATGTGAACACATGAATAGCTAAACCATATACATTCCTGTACTCTCCTAGAAACCTAGGAAATATTATTGCTATTATTTCCAGATCATTTAGTTTCATATGTAGGACCCCAGGCATTTGAAGTATGTTCATGCAGAAACTAATTCATTCCTTTGGCAAATGTTTCTTTTCATACTCTTCTTTCCTTCATTAGAAGGAACTAATAATATTCAACACTGCTTTCACTTAACCTCATGCTTAGGAAAATACATTCATACAATATATTCCATAACTTTGTTTTCCTGCACATCAGATAAATAGTAAAACCAGTAAGATTGTAAGGACAAAACTTAACAGTTTTTAATCAGATAAATGATGACCAATTTCAATGCAGTATTTTGCTTCTTTTAATGCATGGTTTTATACTGCTGGAGGTTCATCTTTACATTGTTAGAGAAACACAGTGTTTTTTGCAGAAAAACATTCATGATGAAATTCTTTCTTACCTAACCAAATGGAGTTATGCAGCACTCCGTCCTTGAATCCCCATGCTTCAGCGTTGTCCCACAGCAGGGCAAAAAAGAAGATTAGTGCAATCATCTCTTCCGAACTATTAGGCTGTAAATATTCTCTGTTAAAACACTCAGGGTAACCTCTGCTAGCAGCTGGCTAGATTCTGTTGGAACATCTGGTAGCCAGATCTTAAATAGTGCTTTCAGCTGTGAGGTCAGCAAGGCTGCTCCAATTGTGCTTGCTGTAGTATTATTATATAATTAAATGTGAGGTCTGTATTCGTCCACGTGACTCATTTTTGGCTCCTTTGATTCCCAGTGTGTCCAAGGAATCATTCTATCCCTAACTACCGGAGCACACAGGAACACTTTTCAAGCCAAAGTCTGTTCATTCTTCAGCACTCACTGTCTTCAAACTCCACAGAACACTAAAACTAATAACCAGTCTAGCTGCATGTAATGTTTCCACAGGATTGAAGAGAATCATATGTGCTACTTCTCATTCTCATTTAAACATTCTATTCTTTCATACATAGCTTGAATTTAATTTCATAGTGACCCGATCAATAAAAAATGTCCGGACAATGTTTTGCCTTGCATATTTGAATTCAATTTCCTCACATGAAATCTGTAATTGCAAGTCAAACTCCTAAGTTTTTCAAGAACAGCATAAAACTGCAAGTGCCAAAAACAGATGCTGTTTGTTCTGCGAGTGGGAAATAAAGCTAAAATCTTTCCCTCCAAACCACACTTTAGGATCTGATTCATAGCATGACAGCTGTCTGCCTGTCTTCCCTTCTGGCTGGAATTGAATTCTGCAGCTATTCCTTGTGAGGATGGGATGAGCGGGACAGTAGAAAGGGGGAAGGATGAGAGCATGGAAAATTGTCTGCTGCTCCACACTCCTGAGCAGCCATTGGAGGACTCCACTCTCCAGTTCTGATAACATCTGTAATTTCCGAGTCAGGAGTTGTGGAGAAAGATGTGCTTATGACCATGAGCATGATCGAGAGCACGATCAAGTTAAAATAAATGAAAAGCAAAAAATGAAAAGGAAAGGATGGAGGACTCTGTGACTCTTGTGCATACGCAAAAATAATTTATATAAAGGTCTGTTGTATCACAGAAAAGAGATTCTTTATCACTCCAGGTTTAGTATAATGTAATGAACACATAGCTGCATCGTATGTGCACACACACACATTTATTCCTCTCACCTACAACAGACACAGATACCAAGGGAGAGAGGAAAGCTGGGGGGAAGAGGAGTCGAGAGCTTTTCCACCGCGTCAGACAGAGGAGTGAGGCCACTTGCACCAAAATACCGGTGTTGACCTGTCTTGTTCAGCACTCATTGGTGAGAGCAAACCAGTTCTTGCAATAAAGTTCACCTAAATGTACATTCCTGTGCTGCATATGAATGCACGTTCAGGTTTGAACCTTTAGTGTGCAGCAGGAGCTGTACAACATATGAATGTCATCTCGCTCCTGATGAAGCTCAGGTGGACTGTGAGTTCAAGGCTTGGCAATGGGACTTCCCACTTGGGTATCACAGAAAGCTGACGGCAACCCACTGGCTTCCCTCCAATCAGCCTAAGGCATCCTTGGCATAGTGGACATGTTTGCTGTCCTCTTTGCTGCTGTGCTAGTGAGCTCCCATAACGTGGAACGCTGAGGGAATTAATACTGCCTGCCAGCGTGTTCAGCCTGTTGAGGCCTCACCTGGAGTACTGTGTCCAATTCTGGGCTCCCCAGTAAAAGAGAGACATGGTGCTACTGGAGAGAGTCCAGCGGAGGGCTACAAAGACGATGAGGGGACTGGAGCATCTCTCCTATGAAGAAAGACTGCAAGAGCTGGGCCTGTTCAGCCTGGAGAAGAGAAGACTGAGAGGTGATCTGATCAACGTGTACAAGTATCTGAAGGGGGAGTGTCAAGAGGATGGGGCCAGTCTCTTCTCCGTGGTGCCCAGCAACAGGACAAGAGGCAATGGGCACAAACTGAACCACAGGCAGTTCCGTCTGAACATGAGGAAAAACTTCTTTCCTGTGACGGTGACTGAGCACTGGAACAGGTTGCCCAGAGAGGTTGTGGAGTCTCCTTCCCTGGAGATATTCAAAACCCGCCTGGATGTGATCCTGGGAAATATGCTCTAGGTGACCCTGCTGGAGCAGGGGGGTTGGACTAGATGATCTCCAGAGGTCCCTTCCAACCTAAACAATTCTGTGATTCTGTGAGCAGTCCCTGCCACACTGATTGTCCCACCATACTTTACAGTTTTATCTTGTTAGCAAAATAAGAAAACATCTCTCAGACTTAGCTCATTTCTTGGAGATGGGAGCCCTACTCTATTTTTATTTCATCTCTAGATTTCAGGATTGCGTATTTTAGCTATTCTTGTTTTCTTGTTACTTTAATGGCGTTTAGATAAGAGTCCAATTTTTCTGAATGAGACCTAGCTCAACATTCTTCTGCCAAAACAAGTTGGCAGAAGTCTACTGCTTTCCAAACGCTGACATCCAAGACATGCATATGAGCTTAGCTGGGAAATGAATTGTGAAGGTGGCAATACAACCTTTTAGGGTGGTGGTGAATGAAGGAGACAGTGCTGAGAGCATTACTCTGGAGTATCCACTTCTCATTAACCGGAGGAGACTGACACTTAAATCATTGCTTGTTTTGAGTTGTGATATATTCAGGGTATCTTCTTGGGACCTAGAAACAATAAAGAGGCATGAGAGAAGGAACAGAAAGAAAACTCAGAAGTGAAAATTCAACAGTAATATCATACTCATGATACCATGTAATATCAGTAAGCTATAAGGAACTTCTTCAGGTGAAGAGGCTCCTCTTAGATTGACACCAAGATTTCTTTTTTCAGAAAAGAGAGAATTATGCTGTGGATGTCCTTCTTTGCACAGGTCACTTTTTCTCTCTACCATTTCATTCAAACTCCTCTGAATAACACTGTAATGTGAGTTGATAGCTCAGTGATTTTATATCAGAACCAGATGTCTACACCACAGGGAGTTGGTCCGTTCCAGTAGGCGGGTACCAATCCCACAAGATCACAAATATGTGCTAATAGTGACTAACTCATGAAAGCAAGGAGTGCATACCAACTCGGAGGTGATTTGTAACAGACTACTATGGTGAAACTCTTGAGACAGACACTCATGCAACAATGACTATTATGGTCAAAGGCCTCAGAAAAAGTAACATGGTAAATAAAGGGCACAATGTGACAAACAGTTATGATAATAACAATATTTGATGGCACCTCTTTTGATATATACAAGTCCTAATATTATATATAATAAAATATGTATCGCTCTGGAGATATAATTAATATAATTCTCTAGTATTAATATATTTATTTCTGGAGAAACTAGGCTATCTGTTACTATTTCAAAAGAAATACAATGGCTTAGGAATCATAGAATCATAGAATAACTGAAGTTGGAAGGGACTTCTGGAGGTTATCCAGTCCTGTGGTCAGGATTCAGATGTCTATCATAATATCCTCTGAACAATCCCTCAGACAAATGAACTCCAGCTTTTGTTAGAAGGTAGTGAAAGTTTTACAGGGTCCAGTACATGTTTTATAGTGAAGAGTAATTGGGTATGGTGAATATTTTGACTTCCGAGGAAACAACCTAATATTTGCTATTGTTTTGCATTAAAGATATTGCCTAGATTCAGCCTAGGCATAAATCTCTGCAGCTCTCAGTGTCAATAAAGTAATACATTCAGTCCTATACATCTGGCTCCCAAGTGAGTTGAAAAGGAAAATTTTCATCTGCACATCGTAGCAGACCTTCTCACCAACAAGAAGATACTCCACAGCTGGATGTGAGCACTTTGAGACACTGATCTGACAGTATTTTCTTAAGTTTTCCTCCAAGTTTTCTACATTTAAATATATCCCAGACATCTTAAATAAAACACACAGATTTTTGGTGGCCTTTTCTTAACTCTTGCCATGCGTACATATCTTAAGAAACGCTGTTTGAAAGATATTCTGTGGTTCTGACTAGTGTTTGAAGTGAACACCTAAATCTGAAGTTCTTAAGTGGTGGTCTTGCAATCCATGATGCCATACTACTAACGGAGATGCACAGCATTGTATTACACAATAAAAATAACAGCTTTTCCACTTCCGTTTAATGATGGGGTTGCGCCTTGGCCAGAAAGATTCAATAGAAGTTGACCGTGATTATATGAAAAATATGGGGACTGCCAGTCTGGTACCAACCAGACTACAATGTCCCTGATTTCTGTTAGCTGTCAGTCTTTCAGCCAGAAAACCATAATGGCTTTGAGAGGGGGGAAAAAAAAAAGGCAGGAGGAGAACAGGGAAGTACTGGGGGAAAATAGTGCAAAAAATAAAGTACTGTGATATAAGAAAACTGATCACAACAACAGCAAGAAAGAAACAATCCAGCGGCTTAATGGGTGAACCACTGGGGAGGAAGGATTTCTAAAAAACAACAGTAGTGCATGCCAGGAGACAAATCTCTTTTACATTAGTTTAAATATTAAGCAACTAAACTTGTCCATTTCTCTTCTATTTTATTAACAAATGAAAATGAAAGTATTCATAGCTTTTGCATTCTAGATATATTTTATTATAGGTAGTGTAGAATACATTACAATTATATTGTTGATAGATTCAAGAATGGTGCATTTAAATGGAAAGGCATGCTGTGAAAGGCCTTTCATTAAGAGGTCTTCCAGCAAGAAACCATAACCCCATTGCAAAAAAAACCCTACTTGGTGAAAAATATAGAAAAGAGAAGTGCAGAGAAAAGGCAAAAAAATTAAAGCTAAGTTTTTCTTCTGCGAAAAACCTAGAGGAGCTTCTCTAAAAAGGGGGATATGACTACACTGACTGAATTTGCATGGTACAAAACCCAAGAATGGAAGAAGAGTTATTTAACCTAAAGAAAGGAAAAAGCTGGCCCAACAATAATGCCATGCCATGCCATGCCCTGCCATGCCATACCATATATACTATATAGCGATAACTTTAGGCTGAAAAGTGGAAGATAATTTCAAATCATAAGAGCAGAAGCTTTGGAACACCCCTCATACATATGCCAAACAAATAAAACAGCTAACTATTTTGAGATGATATTTGAGCAGAAGTTTGGATTTGATATCCTTTGAAAGAAGGCCATTTGCATCTTATTTTTATCTTATTTTATTTTATAGTTATTTTTTCTTATTTTTTATGAACTGAGCTGCCATGGTAAAAGACAAAGGATTATCCCAGACTCAAGGAGCTACATGGAGACCTTAAGAGTCATCAGACTCCAGCCTTCTGCTACATGGCAGGAATAATTACATCTACATTATTCCTGAGATACTTGTCTAGGCTGCT